GCGATTACTCAATCCTAATCTCTTTCCTTTGAGTTGCAGGCAGCTACATGGTGACCTAATGTAAGCTTTCCGCACAATGAGCAATCAGGACTGTTGCCTCGTACCAGGAGACTTCTTCGCATTGGCGACTACGACTTACCTAAGAGGTCATCCATTCAAACTACGTATGACTGGTTCATGGCTAGACACACGGAAGTTCCTCTCCAACAGAGTGGTTACAGCTTGGAATGCCTTGCCTGAGGGCGATGTTATGTCTAGGTCCGTAAAAACTTTAAAAGGAGGCTGAATCAACGTTGCAGTCCGCACTACAATGCCACGCGACCGCTGCCGTCTTGATAGCCTACGTTAACAATTCAATGTTATTATGATGCTATTAACGGTATTTAAATTTCTTGTGTACCTTATATAATTTACTAATTTTTGAACCACGACGTATTCACCAAGGTGCTTGCAGACTACAAACTTATTGATTTTCTTGTAGCTTCGATGTGCTTCAAATATCTACTGTATTAATAATCAAACCGAGTTCCTATGCCTTCAAATACTGTTAACGCAAGACATACTGTGTTCATCTATAAAGTTATTGATATTCTTCTTGTAGTTATTTCATGCTAATACACGTTCCACTTTCTCCACATATTCCTCTGCGTGAAAAATATAGGGATTTCAAAGTTACACACTTACATTCTCTCAAATAAACTGAAATGTGCGTGTGCCCCCAAGCCGGTCACGTGATAGATGCGCTGGACCGACACGGCGACCATATCGGATTCTGGCGGGCGTTATCAGAGTTGCGCACCAAAACAAATACCAACATTTCAGGGTGCTGTGGCAAACCCGGCTGCCGGCGGATGTCGCTCATACTGGGACTCCTGCCGCCCCCAACTGTATTTGTTGGTCAAAAACCTGGTAATTTGCTGTGTGGACCAGAGGGTGTGGAGTAGAGCCCCGTGGCGCGGGCCCGGGAGTGCCATTTATCTACGTCCTCCCCCACCCCTCCGGTCTTCTTGACACCTGGTCAAGGTGGAGGAGGTGGAGAGCGTGCAGTAGATGCTGTGCAAGTCTTCAATCACCATAAACCAATTCATGCACAGGTCACCGTCCCTGCTCTTGCCTGGCTGTGGCGCACACGGTGGACATCGTCGGCAACAACGCCCGAACTGTCACGCGTGACTGTGTGTGGGTGTGGAGTGGCGGGCTGGTGGGCTGAGAGTCGGACTGCCACGTCTCCTTCTCAACGTGATCTGCGACATTCTCACGCATGTGAGTAGCGTGTGTGTTTATGGGTAGTGCCTCTCAGCCGACGACTATCCGGTTACCCAGTCTTTGAAAGTTGATGGTCCAGGCTAAATGCAGGGTCGCGCGCCACTCTTCCTGGCCTTAATGATAGCATGCATGTGCTATGCCTTGATTCAACACACCATGGCTCTGTCAGCCTGATGTACACTCGCAGTTCTCTGACATCAGGTAACCTACCGGTAGGAATGTTTGCGCACCCAATGAGTATAGAGGTGCTGTGCACGCTTGCCCAGTCATCCTTGTCGTCTTCCTGACCCTCTGTGGTGTCACTTATATTGGTTAGAATCCTGGTCAAGTGTTTTTTGTGGACCATAGAGTGCGGTTGTACGCCTAGGTGCGCGTCCGGCCGTGCCAGCCACCTGCGCAAGTACACTTTCACTATAATGAGATATTCATAAAACCAAAGTAATTTTCAAAAAATTCGATTTCGAAACTAAATTATGACATTAAGGCTATGAAAATTAGATAAAGGCAGGTATGTAAAAGCGCATTCTTTTCATGGAACAAGAAGCAGCTTGCTCTTCGCAAATTTTATTTAGCAAAGTTACAATGTTTCATGCTGTAAAACGCAGTAATAAGCTTGTTTGACAGTGTCTGTTTTGTTCAACCGGGCATTAGTGTAGATAGGTTGCCCGTTACCTGATCCTATCCTTCTGTGCCACGCCGTCGAACAAAGAAGTCGAAGTTGAGTTTAAGTGCATACGAAAATTGTCAGTCACGTGGTTCGATAGCTGGCATTTTCAATGCTAGTCTGGTCACTTTATGGAAGATTATTACTAACAAAACTGTGTCTTTGGTTAAACATGCTGGACCAAAACGTCTACGCGTAAATAAGATGACGATTTTATCCGTCGCATCATTGTGTGCCTTTTTAGACCATTCACAGGAGACATCTATGCGTACAATCAGAATCAGGATGACGAAATTCGGACTCAATCAGCCAAACACTATAAAAATGCCATTATAGATGAGAAACTTATAAGATGACGTTTTGTTTGCTCCAGATTATATCGATTGTAGGCTTTCCGTCTGGAGAAGCATATACTTCTGAGGTGAAGAACCTATAATTAAGATGCTGGGGAGAGTAAACATGCATTAACTTCCTTATCTAGGTTTTTGTAAGATATCCTTGATAATATTCTCAAAAAAGGAACAAGAATTATCATTTGACTTCTCCAATATTTTTAAAATATCTTCATCCTACAATCTCATTGCCATAGATAACATAAATTTATTTACTCACAGGGCATGAAACAAGTCGAAAATTCGTTGTCCCGCAAGTGTTTGGCTGTCTGCTTACTAACTGTTTCACTATCATTTACAAGACATTTTTGATAAAACCGTTCGTTTCATCATGCTAAGCTTTCCCTTGTTTGGCAGACAAAAAGCGATAACGTCCAGATACTTAATTGGTGAATTGCGTAAACGATGTTATGTTTTGTAATGATGCGTTTGAATAGTATTTACCGTTTCTCACTGTGCTTGTTGACTTGCAATTTTCAGATTCCATGGTTATGTTAACGTGTTACATCTTACTACTATGTCTTTATCAATAGCAAGCCGGTTGTGACCGAAAGTGAATATAATTTTACCTGACCTATCGAAATGATGCGGAACGTATACTGTAGGTTATTGAAGAAGCATGTGAAATCGCCCGTTCACCTCTGTTAATGTGAATGGTTTTTTGATTAATTTTTATTTGCTCTGTATGTTCTAACTAGCACCATTCATAATTATAAATTTGCATTGAACTCTGCGAGTTATGCTTGAATTTGACAGAAATAAAAACCTTTTGCACAAAACCAACTCGACAGAAAATAATCAGTGTTCGCGTAATGACTTGCAGTAGGCGGGCTAACTCATGAAATGTCAGCTGGAATTCCGAAATGCATTTTTCTGTCGAAAAGATTAATTAAGTAGGGTTGTAAACCTAATCTGCCTGCAGGATAATTCTATAATATGTCAGTTACCGCAGGATGCCGACCTTCGAATTAACTTCCTTTCGGGTGCATGCAAAAAGTACACTCTGTAAAAACGACTACTTAGTAAAATAAATCTTTCTCATTGATATTCGATGCCACTAAAAGTCCAATTATATTTCATGGAAAACAAGCACAAAAATATTCTATCTTTTCCTCAGTCAGTGGATGATATTGTCTTTTTCCAATTTTATACTTTAATTACCGTAAAAAGCCCGTTCATTACTCGTCACGTCTCTGCATTTACCAATGTGGCTTGTAAAGTTAACAATATGGATCATATGCACTGCTTAATTTTACGACCCCTATATGGCCTTCTCTACTACCGTAGAGAAATGAGTGGTTTTCCGTACGCGGAAAATATACGGCTTGTAGTGTGAAACCCTGAATTCAAGTGTAACGGTAGAGCGGGTTCAAAATTAGTCGGGAATTGGAAAAGTATTTCAAAACCGAATTACACCCTTCCTTCGAGTATGTGGACGGACGAAGACGTAATTGTCTACCGAATGAGCAAAAGAATAAATAGCTTTAGGCATGCTTTCCATGAAACATAATTGGACTTTTATGGGCGAGTTCAAAATTATTCGCGAATTGGAAAAGTTTTCGAAAACCGAATTATACCCTTCAGTTCAGTTCAGTTCAGTTCAGTTAATTGAGGGCAATGAAGGTCTTCACCTTTGAACTCCCTATTTGTTTACAAACAACTGCAAAATCTCAAAAACTCGAAAAGGTATCATAAATGAAAAATAATCGGAAAAGCGTCAGGTCTGTACAGACAAACAAACTGTCTCGAATTTTAGTGGTAAGAGCAGTTGTAGAGCTGTCGTTTCGAGTGCAGCGAAATAAATAATATATCCGGTGACAAAATTTGCATATGTGCATATCAGTAAGCGTCGGCGATGAGTTGGCACAATAATACATCCAATTTAAAATGTTACTGAAATATAGCAAGTAGTATTATAATAACAGAATTTATCGAGGTTACAAAGATCGGGGTGGTAATTTAGTGGACACTGCTACACAAATCCAGCTTCCTCTTAAAGACCTCGACGGAAGCAGACATAACGACATCCACAGGCAGGGCATTCCAGGCTTCTAGCACTCTGTTGGAGAAGAAGGACTTCCGTGTGTCCAGTCTGGCCCCTGTCACACGTAGTTTGAATGGATGGCCTCGTAGATTTGTGATGGTTGCTAACTCGAAGAAGTCCCCCGGTACGAGGGTACAGACCTGACCGCGTATGATACGGAAGGCTTGTATCAGGTCACCCCGTAACTGCCTGTAACTCAAGGGAAAGAGATCAAGGTTAGCTAACCGCGTTGCATATGGTAGTGCACCCTGTCCTGCCACAAGTTTCGTTGCACGCCTTTGAACCCTTTCAAGGATGCTGAGGTCCTTCGCAGTCCAGGGTCTCCAAGCTTGGATAGCAAATTCTAGTTGCGGACGCACAAAAGTTCGAAAGACTTTAGCGAAGCAGTCTTCATCAAAGGCAGAGAAAGCCCGCTTGACAAGGTAGAGGACTGACATAGCAGACTTGGCTATCTTCGTGCAGTGCAGCGAGGGTTTGAGCGAGGTCGTAATCCATACTCCCAAGTCCTTCTGCGAGTCGACTTCTTGCAGTGGTATACCGTTTAGACAGTAGGCATATGGTTCGGAGAGCGAACTCTGCCGACTCGTAGAATATTGCACTTTTTCTCGTTGAACGGCAGAAGCCAGGCCTTTGATTACTGTTGGAGTCGGTTTAGGTTCGCCTGCAGATGCTCTTCGTCATCTGCAGTTCGAATGACGCTCCAGAGCTTAATGTTATCCGCAAACATGGCGACACCACAATCCAGTCCACTCACGCAATCGTTGACGTAAAGGGTGAACAAAGTAGGACCAAGAACTGAGCCATGGGGAACACCGCTTTCAACGGCAACCTCCGTCGACTTCTGGCCACCGACGTGGACAGTTTGACAACGGTCTAATAGGAAGCTTTGAATCCATTTTAAGAGGTTACCCCTAACCCCTGTTCGGCTCAGTTTCTGCAGGAGTCGCTGATGTGGGACACTATCAAATGCCTTTTTAAAGTCGATATAGACTACATGCAGCGCATTGCCTTCATCAACTGACCGAGTCCAACGTTCCAAATAGTTGAGCAAGTTAGTCAAGCAAGACCTGCCACTACGAAACCCATGCTGCGCACCAGATAATAAATTATGCTGCTCTAGGAAGCGCATCAGCTCTCGCTTGATTATTTTCTCCATGAGTTTGCAGCAGATGGAGGTGAGGCTAATTGGCCTATAATTGTTTGCAGAGGCCTTGCTGCCTCCTTTATGCAGTGGTGTGATCCGCGCAGATTTCCAGTCGGCGGGCAAGCAGCCGGCTTCGAACGAGGCTTGGAAAAGCATGGAAAATGGTTTGGCTAGTTCGGCAGCGAGCTCCTGCAGTAACTTAGGCGGTATGTCGTCTGGACCTGGTGATTTCGACTCATTTAGCGTCATTAGCTCTTTGCGAAAAGTCGCTTCATCAAAAGATACAGACTCAATTTTTGGACCCTCATCGAAGTCATAGTCGGGAGGAGTAAATGGACTTTCACTAGTAAAGATGGATTTAAAAAATTGTGAAAAGTGCTCAGCTTTTTCTCCATCCTCACTAATCTCTACGTCTCCGCTAGTCTTCAGGAGGGGGATTGGATCTCTGTTTCGTGTGCTGCTTCTTATGTAGCTGTAGAATAATTTTGGATTTTCCATAGCACGATTCAATAGGTCTTTTTCAAAATTTTGCCGTGTCCTGAGGGTCAGTCGCTTGACTAAGTTTCTCTGTATTTTGTATGCATTTATGGATACAGGAGTCCCATCAGTAAGAGATTTCTGCCACAATCTCCGTTTTTTTAATTTCCTTTTTTAACGCCTGGGTCAGCCACCGGGGACGATTGTTTAGCCCCTTCCGTGAAAGCGGGCAGTGGTTTGTCAGGAGAACATGCAATAATTCACTGAACCATTTCCAATCCTCCTCTATATTTCCGGAAAACGCTGATTCCCAGTCCGTATTGTTGATTTCGGCCTTCATTTGATCGAAGTCCCCACGTCAAATATTTCTTCTAATTTTGGTGGGCTGTTCAAGCACGGAACAGATTGAATAGTCCCATTGAAGTACAACGTGATCGCTTCGACCTAATGGAGGCAGACATTCTAGAGGGTGATTTACCAGCACGGAGTTCCTCCCTCACGCATAAGGCTAACTGGCCAAAATACAGTAGATGTGCTAACTCATGAAATGTCAACCAAAATTTCGAAATGCGTTCTCATTTCGAAAAAATAAATTAAGTAGTGTTGTAAAACTAATCATGATGCAGCATAAATCTATAATGATCCAGTTACCTCAGGGTATCGGCTTTCGAAAGAACTTATTTTCGGCTGCATGCAAGATCTATACTCTGCAAAAAATGACTACTTCAGTAGCATGCAATTTTCTCATTGATTTTCGATGCCCTTGAAAATTCAATTATATTTCATGGAAAACATGCATAAAAATATTTATTCTTTTACTTTTTCGGCAGAAAATCACGTCTTCTTCCAAATTCATACTCAAAAGAAGAGTATAATTTGGTTTTAAAAAAGTTTCTAATTGTGAGATTTTTTAATACCGTTAAATGGCCGTTCATGAAACGTCATGTATCCGCATTTACGAATGCGGCTTGTAAAGTTAATAATATAGCTCAAATCCACTGCTTAATTTTATGAACCTCATATGGTCTCCTCTTAACACCGTAGAGAAATGCATGCAATATTGTTAACTTTACAAGCCACATTCGTAGATGCATATACCTGACGTTTCATGAACGGCCATTTAACGGTATTAAAAAATCTCACAATTAGAAACTTTTTTAAAACCAAATTATACTCTTCTTTTGAGTATGAATTTGGAAGAAGACGTGATTTTCTGCCGAATAAGTAAAAGAATGAATATTTTTATGCATGTTTTCCATGAAATATAATTGACGTTTCAAGGGCATCGAAAATCAATGAGAAAATAGCATACTACTTAAGTAGTCATTTTTGCGGAGTATAGATCTTTCATGCAGCCGAAAATAAGTTCTTTCGAAAGCCGACACCCTGAGGTAACTGGATCATTATAGATTTATGCTGCAGCATGATTAGTTTTACAACACTACTTAATTTATTTTTTCGAAATGAGAACGCATTTCGAAATTTTGGTTGACATTTCATGAGTTCGCACATCTACTGTACCTCATCTATGCTGTCCATCGATTTCGTGAGCACCAGGTCCAAGCAGTTTGACTGCTGCCCCTCACGGGCCCTCGTGGGAAATAGGACGTGCTGTGTGGGAAATGACCTGAGTGCCATGTCCAAGAAGCGTCGGTCGAAAGCTAGTTCTGTGTCGCGCGCGTATAGTGAACTCCAATCAATGAGCGGTGCATTTAAGTCGCCCATGATTAGAACGTCAGGCCGGAGAGCAAATCGTCCTAGCTCCTCTAACAGACGAGCGTCAGCCTCGGGGTCACTCCTCGGTGGTCGATAGACGGTCAGAACTTCAAGGCTATGTGATCCTGGTACCCTTATAGTGAGCCAGATAGTCTCGGCGCTGCATGCAAACTGTTCTATTTTTTCTGACACAAGCAGGCCGTGTTTTACGTACGTGACGACTCCTCCTCCCAGACGCTCTCTCCAGCCTCTTCGAAACAACTGAAATCCTGGTAGCGTTAATTCGCGGTCATCCACGTTTTCAGACAGCCAGATTTCTGTCAAAGAGACAATGTCAGGGGAAAGGTCACAGATGGGGATCTTCAGTTCGTCTAACTTGGGCAATATACTCTGCACGTTGGTGTAAAAAATGTTAGTTTCAGAGTTTTGGGGCGTTTGATTATGGTGCCGCTTGTGATCCCATTTAAGGAAGCTACTGTGCCCTCATCCGGATCGGTTCGGTCCAACGGATTAGGGGAGGGCGCTGCACTATCTGGTTGTTGTAGATCACAAAATCCGTCTCGCCATTCTGCAACCTTGTTCTCAGTTCCAGAACTAATTGTCGACGTTTTATTCTCTCTGCCGGTGTGTAGTCCGGCTGAAAAAACGCTGCGGTTGGTGTCTTTGATTCGGAATAGTCGTGAGAGAATAAGTCCTACTTGTTCTTGGTTGGTTAACACAATCTTGAGTGGTCGGGGACGTGAGTGCTCTGATATGTCGATTGAGCGCTTTCCAAGCCTAAAGGCCTTGAGAACCGAAACTTCCTCACTGGAGTGCAGAAGTTCGTTGAGTAGGCATTGGAAGAGTTGCTGGTCTGCCGAGACCCGCTCTTTGGAGGCACTAGCTGTGGATTCGGGAAGTCCCTGAATAATCAGAAATTGTCCTATGACCGGCGACACTCTCGAGAACACAGTGGTTTCGTGCTCCGACATAGGCAATATGTGGTTGCCATGATCTGACGAGAATATAAGTTGCAGTCGATTAAGATCCTCATTCGTCTCTGTTTTGTTTGCATTTTCATCAGAGTCGGAAGTTTTTGCGATAGGTTAAGAGTTTTAGGACCCATGTCATTTCCCGTGATGGGCGAAACGGACGCCGACGTCCCTGGTTCCTGTTCTTCGGAGGCATTCCTCGGGATCTGCTGTTCATGTCCTTCGACCTTTTTGCTGCACGATTTCTTTTTTTCCTCTGGTATTTTATCGTTGCCTTGCTGATTATTGTCGTCTTGTATTTTATGTGTATGTGCTGGGTGTGCCGTGACATCTGCAGAAGGTGTTGATGGCGTATTTTTGTGCGAAGTCCTTTGGCCCTACTTCTAGTTATTCGTCCAACAGGTACATTCGCATCGTCAAGTGTGTCTAGTTTACATTGTAGAAGAGTTTTCATCTTTTCCATCTCTTCCTCAAGGCGGCTGATTTTGCCGGCCAATATCTCGCATCCACTGCAAAATCGATCGGTATGCGGCACGCATTTACTATCAAGCAGACTTTGCGACATCGCTTGCCGTCGTGCCGCGGTGGTCGAGGGGTTAGCGTGCGCGACTGAAATGTCGGTGGTTCGACTCCGTCATGCGGCGCATTACTTTGGGTGGCTGCGCAAATCGTCATTATGTAGTGGACTCATGAAAAACGGACAAATCTGAAGGAAATACAAGCTATTTCCTAATGCACAACTGTGGACAGTGTCTATGCTTATGCTGGATACGCCGAAAGTTTCCAGGGAACGCTTTTTTCAGGTAAATCTATGGTAAGGTGAGACAACTCGATTTGTCCGAATTTAAGCAGCACAGCAAGCAGTGTAGAAATATCGATTTAGCCTTTTCGTAGATGTTGCTCCTAACTTTGGTGAGCGATTGGAGACGGTGTATTGGATGGATAGGCCCTGTAGACAAGCCGAGATTTCCGACAGAAATACCGTTTTTGCTGAAGTTTGTTCTGATCGAACGATAGGAGTATCGATGGAGATAGCTGGAGGATCGTTGTCAGAAAGGCGTTTTATAATCCACTTTTTGGTAAAGGACAGTCGTTTTCAGTGAAGAGACTCGATTGAAAAACTTCCGTCTTGCAACGCAAAATTCAAACCGCGCGGGTCAAAGGCTTCGAGATGCCTTCCTTCCAGTACAATATTAGAAGGAGACGTAACTTTGTACCAACTGAACGAAAGAATGATTGTTTTTTTGCATGTTTTCTCTAAAATATAATTGAACATTTAGAGGCAACGAAAATCAATGAGAAAAAGCCATTCTACTTTAGTAGACATTTCTTACAGAGTGTAGTCTTTGCTAGCAGCCGTAAGAAAGTGCATTCGAAAGCCGGCATCCTGGGTTTACTGAAATATAATAGAATTATGTTGCAGGCTGACTAGTTTTGCAACGCTACTTAATTAATCTTTCAAAAACGAAAGCGAATTTCGGAATTTCCGTTGACATTTCACGAGTTAGCCCACCTACTGTATTTACCGGTGCACACAACTCGTGTTCGTAGAGAACGACTAAAAAGACGCGATAAAGTTAGATAGACCAGATTTATTTTGCCCAATTAGGAAAAATTTGGCGGCCTCTCTAGGACCCAAAGCCCCGACAGCAAGGACAAGGCTTGACCAGGACCAATGCCCTAACCACTTGAGCTACGAGGCTCCACCGTGAGTCGTGAGTTTAATCACATATGGGTGAAGTTACCCGCCCGACCTACTGTAACGTATGGAAACCGCCAATGCACCTATTGACTGGCCAGACTGACTCAAAGTACACTTCAAGATGCGTATTTATGAGATGATGTTGTCCAACCTGCAGGTGCCCAAAAAGCCGGGAACAGGAAAAGTGAATCTACACCAAGATGTGAATAAACGCTGTCCTTTTCAGGATTTATAAGTTCAGTAAGTTTTGACTGAGGAGCACACACGTCGGACCGCGTTTGCTTACATGGATAAACTGGAGAGGTCGTAGGCTCCGAAAGCACTACGGCGTATGTGCACACACTTGCAGTTATGCCAGAAGTGAGACAAATCTGTCAAATTTACAAAAAACAGTCTCGGCTGGAGCAGCACGACATTATCGTTTAGCCATAATTACAACACAGGTATCAGCTAAAAGCCCAGACACTCGTGTTTAGCCGATCTTATGCCGCTGCCTGACGCACCTGTGAGGAGTTCGGCTTATCAGTGGGCCTTCCAGCTTTCCCCGTGTGTTTTCTAGTATATAAACTCCAGTTTTTACTTGCCTCGTTTAATTTCCGAGGAAATTAAGGCGCAAATTTGAAGTAAGTCTCTCAGAACAGACCTTTTTAGGCACGGACCGAAATTTCAGAAGGTCATCCCATCCACACCTCATCTCAGTCCCAGCGACTGACAGTTAGCTATGATGAGAAGCTGCCATTGATCGCCGGTTGCGGATCGACCTGCATAGGCACGTAGATGAAGCGGATAAACTGCGACCAGCACGACCATCACATGGAGGCTGATCTACTGATACATGCATCAGAGGTTTTACAAATGCAAGTGACACAGATTTATGCCCACATGCGAATGACACCTCAGGTATGTGTTATCGACCACGGTTGTTTCACCCAGATACCGCATCACTCAGAGGTTTTTAAAACTAACTTCCAGCAGTTTTTTCTGTTGAGGACCCTTAACACACTCATTTGCTGACATTTGGGTACGTATACTGGTCGATAAAAATATTAAGTAACTCCCTTCGAGCGTCTGATAAGGCCCACATTTCCTCCCGACAGGTGCAAATGGCCATCTTGCCAACTAATTCACTCACAAATCACTACAGGCAGTGGGCGTCGGTGCTTGCAACGTTCGTTTCATCATGTTCAGGTGAAGCCCACCTCCACTACTTTTCTGCGTCACTGTCATTAGCTGTGACCAGCGTCCTTGGAGCAGTAGGCCGTTATCTATGTATACTGCAAACTTCTCCATAAGCATTTAGCAGACTTCGCACTGAGTGTGCCCTAGCTACCATGATAATTTTGGCCCTGTTCGGTTTTGGATGAGAGGGAAAATACATCAATAGGAGGTGTGCATTCTGCACAAAACCTACAGTGAGTGACCGAACTCATAAAATGTTGGCTGAAATTCTAAAATGCATTTTCGATCAGGAAGGATTACTTGGTCGCGGTTGTAATACTGTTTGTCTTGCGGCCAATCATATAACATTTCGGACTCGATAGGATGTCTGCTTTTGAATACGCTGATTTTCAATCTACTGTAGAAACCGTACTCGAAAAAAAGACTACTTAGGTAGCATGCATTTTTCCCACTGATTTTCGATGGTCTTGCAAATTCAACTATATCTTTTAGAAAACACAAACAAAAATATGTTTTCGTTCAATCAATTAATAGAGAATTACGTCTTATTTATTTTTTATACTCAAGGAAGGAGTATAATTAGGTTTTATAAAAGTTTTCTAATCGACGATTAATTTGGAGTCTGATCATTCATTACGTTAGAGCGTAGCGATTTCAGTCTACAAGGTGCATGCGTTCCGCATAAAGAACATCACATATTTTTCTATACCTTTAAAAAGATATCATGCAGAGTCTATAAAATTTTGCAACTGATGCGACTACGTTGTACACTTCATGGGGGGCTGTGGTAAAAGGCGAGCTAGGATGCTATGTGGATGGACATTACGGGGTCTTAAAAGATCTCATAATTAGAAATTCTTTCAAAACTCTACTATACTCCTTCCTTGAATATAAAATATAAAAATACGTGATTCTCGATCAAACGAGTAAAGAAAAACATATGTTTGTTTATGGTTCCTATAAGATATATTTGAATTTGCAATACCATCGAAAATCTACTGAAAAAATACGTACTACATAAGTAATCATTTTGTACCGATTACGATTTCTACAGGAGATTGAAAAGCAGCGTATTCAAAAGCAGACATCCTATCGAGTCCGAAATGTTATATGATTGGCCGCAAGACAAACAGTATTACAACCGCGACCAAGTAATCCTTCCTAATCGAAAATGCATTTTAGAATTTCAGCCAACATTTCGTGAGATCGGTCCTTCACTGAAGGTGGTAGTCAGAACCCCGGAACGCGGCCGCGCGATGCTTGCGCCTTCCCACTCACTACGGTGATATGGGCCTGGATGATTAAGTTTCCTGTGAAAGCCAGTCACTGTAAGCTTACAGGTGATTGGGTGATTACGACACTCGTGGGCGCCTGTGATTGGTTATCCACGAAGTGAATGTATGTATACTGAAGCCGCTCGAGTGTCGTGATCACATGAACCCTAACTTGGCACACGTGAAGGTCTATGCGCGCATGTAGCGATACAGGCGTGCGCAAACTAATCATTCAAGTCAACCTAAACGAACGACCGGACTAATCCGAGCATGTCAAAACTGCAGCTTACGATGAGCGAATTCCAAGAGATTGATTACTGCAGCATCTGTTGGAAACCCTACAACGATCCCTTCATCCTACCTTGTCAGCATAGTTTCTGTATGTCCCCTTGCCTTGAAAAGGTCCTCCATGCTGAGGAGGTTAAGTGCCCCGTCTGCCAGCAACCCTTCGCTCTCTGTGACATTAAACCCTTCCTCCATCCACTGCTCGAGGATCTAGTGCAACAGCTGTCCGACAAGTGCGCTTTCTGCGCGTTGTGTGAGACAATGGTTGAAGATGGAGAAAGAGACCTACAGTCCTCAACCAGGGCCAGTGGACTCGTTTGTGCAGAATGCGCGGCCAAGGAGGCTATGTTGCAATCTTTTGACAAAACTGAAGAAAAGAAGTAAGGACTTGACTTCGAAACCAACGTTTTCAGACAACTGCCGGATCCCGAAATGGATACGAGTTCCATCGGGTCACCGCAGCGCGGTGGGCATCCATCGTCGTTCGATGCTGTTGCCTCTTCTATTCAGCCTGTCAAGCTGTCGCTTCGGGCAACTGTCTGTTCACTTGATTAGTTTGACCTGACTGACTATTATAGTACATAGCAAAGCGCGTTGTAACTTTCATTTTTTCTCTTTTGTGGAGCCTCGCACAATACAGAGGCTTTAAGGGCAACCATCTCCTCATCGAGCTTTATTATGGGACCTGGAAACCTATCGTATAATTTAGACTCCCCCTAATGTTGTCTGAATTTCGCGTCGCAGGTTATCATACGCAGCGCTGAACAGCTTGACCCTCCAACCTTTCCATCTCATCGCACGACACACACAGAGGCCATTCTGGTTAAACACTGTGAAGAGTGGTTGGCTAGATCGCAGTTGGTAGCCCGGACCCGCATTACAGGTGGCTGGGGGGTTCGTTTACTGGGGTTATTTTGTGGGGCTCCATAAACACATCCGACACATTTGGCTTCCGTTTTACGTTTGAGGTTAGGATTAGGGTACCGGTTAACGGGTTTCGATTTTCCGGTTAGGGTTATGTCTCTAGGTTTAGGTTTTCAGGTTGTGGTTAGGGTTTGAGCGTACGAATAGGTTCCGGTATTACGATTAGGTTTCTCAGTTACGGCTATGTCTAAGGGCTGCGGTTACGTTTACAATTTCGGCTAGGTTTAGGGCTTCCTTTAGGGTTAACGGTAACGGTTGAGGTTGGGGTTCGGGTTAAGGTCGCCGTCCGCTTCCCATTCCGGGCCATCAACTGGGATCTAGCCGAGTAGTTGCTTCCGTATGCACATTGGTGTAGGGCGTAGTTAGGGGTTTCATTTTAGCACAAGGGAAGCGTTTGCAAAATGAAAGCTAGGCCTTTTTCTCAGTGCTCATAACCGGCCGATATTAGTTCTCTGTCGGTTGCATGGAGTACAAAATGATCTTTCGTTAAAAAGCTTAATGAAGTAGAAAGAAACCGGCCATCAAATCAGCAAGATGCTTGTACGACGCATTATCATCACTACATCTAATCTCTGTTTTCCCAAGTCCCACTGGGACTGGGATAAACCTCTCGGAGAGCGCAATGAAAACCTACAGGTCTCATTAACCCAAGGAGACTGATTAATTCCCTTAGCACCTATTACTTTTAACACCGCACATCTCTGATTCCGTGAAATTTGGCTCCCGAGTTTTGTGGCATTTCTGTTTCCAACTGTTTACAGCTGGAAACAAATATTAGACTCCCAGTGATAATAAACATCACAGCTCCCGGGAGACAAGTCTTCACCAAGCAGTCGACATTAAATGCACGTCGTCAAATAACGTGCATAGTAAAAGCCGCAGGAGACTTGGAGCAGCTCTCTAGTCAGTTCAAGAACACGTCCGATTTCAGCACCTTTTCACGACAGAAGCCTTGTTTTCAGCTGTCTGGAGCAGCATTCTGGAAAGGAGGTCTTCTGGTAGCCAACGCATTCGGAACACTTTTACAACTCAAAATGTACTTAATTCGATAATTAACCCGTTTGTGCTTCCTCGTAGAAGCAAAATTTTAAAGACTGTGTAGTGGGAAGAAATGATGAATTTCTTTTGTATTCCATGATTAAGATAACTGGAGCTCGATTATGTGTCTTATCAGGTTGAAGAATTCAGTAAAGCGGTTCGTCGTGTAGAATGCATGACAATTCTGAATTTTAAACCGAGAGGGATGGCGAGAGGGTAGCGCAATCTAATTAGTCCACGTTTGAGGGAATGCGTGAGGATGATCGGACAGCACCGTCAAGATAAATGGAAACTAGCAAAAAAGAGAGACAGTGCATTCGAATACGGGTGTTTATGTCTGCCCCTAAAATGGGCAACATCTTAAATGCACTGGACCAACACAGGGGATAGATTCGGATCCGGCAGCCGAGCGCTCATGACAAATGCGAAGAGCTCGGGGTGTGAAGACAGACCGAGTTGCTGGAGGAAGAATGAATATATATATATATTATGATATTGGGCGTTCACCGATCAGGTTACGGAAAATGATCGTTCCGTTGTGCCTTGGGGCTCATACTAGAACCCTCGCAGGCAGTCGCACAGCGACTATTACTAGACATAGATGAGATGGGGCCGACAAAGACAAGGGAGAACGGAATGGCCATTTCTGGCTTATTAGCCGTCATCAGCCAGTCATACCCAACCCCAAGTGTAGATCATTTGAAATTTGAACCCGGGATCAATGGTCATGGAGTTTGACGCTCTACCATTGAGCCATGAGCCCGTTGTCCTGTCGGTTGTGATGGGGAATATGATGTATGGATATATGTGGATATAGGCGAAAATGCCGACCCCAGGTATTGAGATGGAAGAAGGTAAAGATATCTCTGGGGAGGATGATTTATTCATCGGACGTTTCACACTCATACTTGAGCGCATCATTGGAGATAGATTAAAAGTGGGAATACAAGGTTTAAATAGGTCTTTCTTATTCACTGCTGATAGGTCCATTGTCCTCTGTTCCTATTGGCCCTCCTTTCCTGCCCAAGTGGTGTCTGACGGCCTCCTATGGCGCCGGTAGGTCGATCCTACGGTTGATCGAGTTGGCGTTGGATTGCCAGGCTTCCATTATCTCTCTCGCCATTTTGCTTTCAGCTCGGCCGATTACTTATGCCTTTTCGAAGCCGAATTGATGGTTATTTTCGAGGCTATGCATAGCAACATGTGATCGCACATCTTTTCGCTTTACAGCTAGCGAATGCTCATGCATGCGCGACCTTAATCGTTTGTCGGTCATGCCACAATAGTTGGCCGGACAGTCTAGACAGTTGACGCGGTAAACAATTCCTGACGTGTCCTCAGGTGGTAGCCGCCCCTTAGGCTGCATGAGCAATCGGCGGTTAGTGACCTCTGGCCGGTGTCCAGGGCCCAAGTTGAGTGGTCTGAGCATGCGTTCAGTGGCTTCGGAAACGTCAATCACGTAGGGCAAAGCACGGAAGATTTCAGGTTTTTGTTTTTGTTCACCGGCGAGAGAAGAAGAGGGCCTAACTCCTGAACAAAATGAGCAGTCTAAATTAAGCCCAAGCCGCACTACCTTAGCCATCCTCCGTCCATAACCTGTCACCCAAACAGCTGACAGACGATCAGATTAAAGTACTTTAGCACGAATCAGGCTACAACACAGGGGACGCACACCCAGTGGATCTTATTGCTGCACTTAAAGCGACACTCTCAAAGACGAAGGCCACAGAGGACACCAAGAACTCGATTCGCCAACGAGTCGCATCCCTCATCATATCCCACATGCCACGTCGAACCATCTCCTCAGCCGAGGTAAATGCCATTAAGGAATTAAGGAGGGACGAAGAAATTGTGATTGTCCCAGCAGACTAAGGACGGGCAACCGTGATCCTGGACAAGTCCGAGTACAAATATAACTCGGTCCATGAATGTGCCCTATCTTTTTCTTCGTCTTCTTCGGAGAAAGATGAACACGATACAATATCTGCACCACGAATCTTTACCCATATATATATGTATATATATATATTATCGTCATTAGGCAGCTATATATGGCATGCACACGACGCGTGAACTGAGCATTTGCTAATTTCGAGGACATTAGACAGAAATTTGAAAATGACGCAGTTGGAGATGCCTGTTTATCGTCTAAGCACGCCACTGAGTCTCATAAGGCTGATGCTGCGCAAAAAATAGACCCAGTGGGCAGTGTTCCATTGTAGGACTTACTTCTTTCCACCTGAGACGTCTAGTCTTCCAAGGTAAAGGTAGGTGCGCTGCATCTAACGCACTCTTTCCTCCTCATCCATCTGATCCCGGCATTTATACAGAATCGAAAGAACCAGAGGCGCGGGGGGGGGGTGCAGTCCGAGTACCCCCAACTGAGTGGGAGTTTCATGAGGAAGAAGATGCTCTTGCAGCCTGACTCTCCGTCCCGAGAGGAGGAACGTGGCAAAATTCTAAGTGTTCCATGATATATTCAAGCACGTCAGATTGTTTATATTAGGGATATGCGCTGAGGATATAGTCCCTAGAGTAGGGCTCAAACTCACATCTGTCTCTCGGTCACCAGTCCACTGAACGGACTGATCAGTCATTTGATGCGGGGGCTGGACGCAATGGCTGACAGAGCTAGAGAGTCCGGCTGTATGTGTGACACACACGACGAACTGTGCCCTCCTCCACAGGCCAGGGTTTCACAAAGATGGCATGGGGGGCTCGGTTCTCACATGCGTGATATCAGTTCGACTGTCGTATCCGACGTTGTCCACCATGTGCTCCACAGACAAGTGGAGCAAGCAGGGTGACTTGCGCGGGAATTAGTTTATAGTGAGTGTAGTGCATCTACCGCACTCCCCTCCCCCCCCCCACCTGATCCCGTGTCAAGTGTTGGGAGTGCCTACACTGCCAAAAACAAGAGCCAGCCAATCACGGGAGGCCACGTGCGTTTTCTCTACTGCGCTGTCATCTTAAACGTGGCGCCTCTCCATTGGCTTTTCCTCGCGGGCCTGATCGATCAGCATATTCGAATTATCGACCGGCTCGTCTCGAATGTTCTTCCTGAAGGGCATTGGGCCGAACGCCGGCGAAGCACCGTAAGGCGTTATAAATACGCGTTACTTCCAGTTCATTTTGACTTGCATTTTCCTAATACACAGTTTCGTGGCCGGTCGCATTCTCCTTCGCTGCCGCGTTGCTATTGGGGACAAGGGTCGAGTGCGCATACGCTCCACAGGATTTCACGTACCAGGCGGGTCATAACAAATTGGCGACGCAGGTTTTTCAACTTCAATGGCTGACGAGTACGCCGACTTGAAGCAGATGTTGCAGCAGCAGCTGAAGCTGATGGAGGCTCTGACCGTCAAGCTATCCAATTCATCCATGGGCCAATCAAGCGCGGCTGGTGGTTCACAATCTGTTGATCACATTACCGGCAGCATCACTGAATTCCTGTATGACCCGCAGGCCCATATCACCTTTGATTCCTGGTACAAGCGATACGAGGACTTGTTCTCTGTCGATCTGGTTGCCCAGGACGATGCATGGAAGGTTCGACTTCTACTTCGCAAACTGGGTCCGGCTGAACACGAGCG